GGAGTTTGTTTCATCATTACAACGGATTTGAAGAAATGTTGCTTTACATCACTTGCTCACCATGTATCCTTACAAGTGAATGGGTGCCGTCAGAATGAGAGTCCAAACAGCTGATAAAAACATCACAATAATCCACAAGTAATCCTTGTCCATCAATTAACACCTTGTGTGTAATGGGGCCGACGAGACATGAGGCGTGAGGATCCATGTGCAAGCTTTATTTATAAACACGGTCAGAACACAGGCAGGGTCAAACAATGGCAAACTGGTATGGTACGGGCAAGACACAAGAATAATCCAAGAGCAGACGAGGGTCTCCGATCAGCAAACGACATCCAGAGGGCTAGACAGAGAGAGATAATCCAGGTACAGAGTAATAGTCCAGGCAGGGGCAAACAGAGTCCAAACGACAAGACGAAAGAGAGATCCAAGGCAGGCTATAAACTTCAGGGCAGGTAGAGATCAGACAAGAGGAGAAAACAGGCTAAGATCAAAACACGGGTAAACAGACTATGAACAAGGCTAAACTAAACTTTAACTCAGGAAACACGGAATGGCTTGGTAAAGCAGCTAACACTAGGAGAGTGATAAATGCAGAACAATACTCGGCGACTAGAGCAGGATCTGGGTAGGTGTTATATAGTGTGTGTAATGGCTTTCAGGTGCGCGTGTGATTGGTTACAGCTGTGTGCAGTCAGTGCAATGGATGATGGGAAATGTAGTCCAGGGCATAGTGTAACAGTCTGTGTAGTGTGAGAGTCCATGTAGTGAGCGGGTGACCTCTGGTGGTGAGTGAACGGAAGTTCATAGACCGGATTCGGGATATTGTGAAGCAAAAAGCTGCATGTTTGTAATAAACAAATTAACCATTAAGTCGTTTCAATTTATTTATTTGAAAGAGAAGTCCTTTGTAACTTTATAAATGTCCATACTTTGTCCATATTCCATAATAACGCTTCCTCCAGTGAAATAGTATCCCCTGTTGTTCTTTCACATCAAAATCCATATTTGTGTAGAACTATTTTGGACTGTGTAGCTTGTAAGTGATGCTTGATCTGTGTATATTTCTCTCCTGATACAGGCAAGACAATATTTTCACTGGAGAAAGCAATATTATAAATAGAGGACTTTTAACTGGAAGCGACGGTTTGAAGTTAAAAAATGACTTGATGAATTTGTTTATTGTAAATACACAGGTTGTGGTTTATTTAGATTACTTGTGGATTATTGTGATGTTTTTATAATCTGCTCTCATTCTGACGGCACCCATTCACTGCAGAGGATCCATTGGTAAACAATTGATGTAAGGCAAAGTTTCTCTAAATCTGTTATTAAAGGGGTCATATGATGCTTTTTAAAGATCATTATTTTGTGTATTGCAACTTGAGGGATCTTATCTATTCACGAACAGCTTGTAACACTCCAAAGAGAAAGGAAAACTTGAAATCGCATCATATGACCCCTTTAAACAAACTCATCTGCATCATTGATGGCCTGAGTGTGAGTACATTTTCAGCAATTTTATTTTATATTTATTACTTTTTAAAGTTTAAATTCTGTGATGTGTTCTTATATATACTATGCCAGGTTTCAAACTTTCTAACCAGATATCTTTGCTACTCTACATTTTACTTTGTATACATGTACACTACCACCCAAAAGTTTGGGGTCAGTATGATTTTTTTAAAACTAATTAATAGTTTTTCATCAGGGATGCATTAAATTGATCAAAAGTAAATATCAAAGTAGAGACATTTATAAGATCAAAGTAAAGACATTTATAAAGTTACAAAGGACTTATTTTTCAAATAAATAAGTTTTTTTTTCTTTTTTTTCTATTCATCAGAGAATCCTGAAATTAAAAATGCATCACGATTTCCACAAAAACGTTAAGCAGCAACATTGCACATTGGCACTATGATAGGATACAGTATTTTAACATTACAAAGAGACACAACATTTGATTTTAAGTCCAGTTATTGTCAATCTGGTTAGTGTTGTACTGTTAAGATGTGATATGCATATAGGATAATTGCTCAGGGTTGTTGTTTGTTTGTCAGGCCCTAAAAATCACACTGAAGAAGGAGAAGGATGTAGTTAATGTGAAACTTCCTCCGGGGCTCTACAAAGTATTAATAAACTTATCAACTAGCCAAGTATTTAGTTATTGATATCTCAATCGTGTAAGCAACTCGACATTGCAAACTTCACACATCTCCCGGCGGGTCAAGCACAGGCCATGCCTGAAACTTTGAAACTTCAAGTAGCTTGTTTTGTCATCTCGTAATTAAAAATGCTTATTTGAGCATCTTCCAGGCCATGAGAGGACTGCGAGAAGTGTCCTTCAGCTGTGCCCACTGGACCCCTCCTTAGGAGTGGCAAACACTTATCTCCCATCATGCTCAAAGAGTGGGAGTGTGTCCCCTAGAGCGAGCGTGTCTTGTAAGGGGGTTGAGGGGTTGTTAAGGGCCCTTGGAATCATTTGTGCGTAGTGAACTGAGACCACTAAGCCGCAGTCCAGGTAAACCACAAGAGGGATGGTCCTGTAATGGTGTTTGTTCATGTGTGGAGTTGGTGGATTGTGGATTCCAAACAATTACTGATTAACGATCTTTGACAGAAATTGACAATTTTTCTCTTTTTTTAGGAAGTTTTATTCGTAAACCATGACTTAGCTGTAATTTTTAGTTTTGAAGTGTGGCCTAAATATTAGTACGTTTGCCCTGACATGATGAGCTGTGGTGCCCATGAGCGTCATGCATTCAAGTCCAGCTTGTAATAATTCCTGATCTTCTTTATTAATAAAATGTGGTTAAATAACAAAAAATCCCACTCTTTAAGTAACACTCGTTCTGCAAGGATAGACTTATGCTTTAACTTTATTTAGTTAAAATCACATTTTTAACTAAATTAAGTTGTAGCCTAAAGGTCATATTTGTCCATTGTTCTAGCGCAAAATTTCAATAGGAATCCACTCGATTTCCCAATGCAGCTTCCACAAAGGATTAACTTTTTTCATAGATTCGCTGTGCTGACCAACAGAAAGCTGTTTTGTATTGAAATTTACCTCTGTGTGGACTTTTTTTTTGCCTGGAGAATATGAAATTTCGCTAATATGGCTCTACCTCTCAGAAAAAATTTACTTTTTAATATTGCAATAATGTTTAATCTTTAATTCCTTTTGTTGCACAAAAATGTAAAAGAAGTGTTTTTATAATTAAAAGTTTCAGTCCAGATGATTTTAAATATTTCCCTCAGAAACATATTTTTCCAGAATATTAAAGGTAGGGTAGGCGATATTGGAGAGGCTGGCAATAGCAAGCTAACTTTGAAAGCATAAGATCCCACCCTCCCTGCAAATCACTATCCAAAGCCACGCCTCCTCAAAAATTTTTTTTAGGACAGCCTGTCGTAGCCCTCGGACCGAGGGATATGATTGGATGAACATTTTATGCTCCTACGCTTTTCACAGACAATATAAATACATATAAATACATTTAGACCTACCCTGACATATTCTGTTACACCAAATACACAAAATAATGATCTTTAAAAAGCATCAAGTGATCCCTTTAATATTCCATGAACAGGGATCGATCAGCATACCATTTGCATAATATGAACACGTTTTTATATCATATGATTACACACTCCCCGAAAAAAAGTTACAAAAGCTGTCACTGGGGCGGTAAAAAAAGGTTCATATTAAGGTACATCCCCATTCCCCAGACCTAAACGGACCAAGGGGGAACCCTTCTCACTACCCCAGTGACAGCTTTTGTATCTTTTTTTTTTTTTTTGTTGAGTGATTCTACAACGGAATTGTTAACATGCATTATGGAAGTACATAATATAATGAGGTGCAGAATTAAAACAATTCACCCACTTGAACGAAAAATGAACCACTTTTACAATTAACCTATTAGACGAGTTTGAAAAAGAATTGATGTTCTGTAGCACATTTCGCTGTGTGGGTTTCCATCCATCTTCCTGTCTTTCAGCTATTCTATGTAAAGGTGCCATCAATCAAATCACAGCAGCCTACCTGCTCTCCCAGAGCTGAAGACATTTTCTACAGAATTCAATCTTTAGAAAATACATTCAGAAAATGATCTACTAAAGGGTTAAACTGAAAAGAATCCCATAGATTCTAAAGTTTAGACATGTTTAATGTCTGTCTGCTGGATTTCTGTTCATTCGCTGTAATGCAGAGTTTGACAGCTTTTGTATTTTTTTTTTTTTTTTTGTTGAGTGATTCTACAACGGAATTGTTAACATGCATTATGGAAGTACATAATATAATGAGGTGCAGAATTAAAACAATTCACCCACTTGAACGAAAAATGAACCACTTTTACAATTAACCTATTAGACGAGTTTGAAAAAGAATTGATGTTCTGTAGCACATTTCGCTGTGTGGGTTTCCATCCATCTTCCTGTCTTTCAGCTATTCTATGTAAAGGTACCATCAATCAAATCACAACAGCCTACCTGCTCTCCTGGAGTTGAAGACATTTTCTACAGCTCACGTACAGTCTCCTGAAAATACATTCAGAAAATGATCTTCTAAAGGGTTAAACCACAAATAATCCCACAGACTCTAGAGTTTAGACACGTTTAATGTCTGTCTGCTGGATTTCCGTTCATTCACTGTAATGCCAAATTATTCTGTATTTATGTCAACACAATCATTTTTGAAAGAGGAAAACAAGCAGAGAGAGCTAGAGAGACTGTGAAAAACATGACATGATGCATAATGGTCATCTTCTGGAAAAAAGGTGGATCATATTTTGACTCATATTTTAATTTCCCTCTTTTCTACATTAATGGTGCTGGTGATTCCATTATGAACACTACAAAACTGGCATAAGGGACCCATTTCAGTTAAATTCTTAATTTGCTATTTGTTTTTAGAAAAGTATTGTAGAGAAATCTAATGAATATGTATTGAATTTCATTTGAATATGTATTAATGAATATGCATTACTTTTTTTTTCAAGAACAACTTGAGGATGACAAATTACACAGTAATGGAGGTGAGACACCGCCCGTTTCTCTTTCTCAGTGTGTCTGTTGTCATTGTGGTGTTTTTACGTATCAGTCAACTTCAGTACTCATTACATTGAGACATTTCAGACTCACTTTGCTCTAAATCACACATATCCTTTCATCTTTCTGTCTGTTTGTCATGATAGATGCCGTCTGAGTCTCTTCACTGTCGACATCCTTCATCTGGCACTTGGTATTAAAGCACATCTCTTCTCTTCTCTTCTCTTCTCTTCTCTTCTCTTCTCTTCTCTTCTCTTCTCTTCTCTTCTCTTCTCTTCTCTTCTCTTCTCTTCTCTTCTCTTCTCTTCTCTTCTCTTCTCTTCTCTTCTCTTCTCTTCTCTTCTCTTCTCTTCTCTTCTCTTCTCTTCTCTTCTCTTCTCTTCTCTTCTCTTCTCGTTTAATCCTTTTGTCATCTTGGCTCATTTAATCTCTTACCTCACATGTTCTCATCACTTCTCTTCTGTTCTTTCCTCTTGTATCTTGTCATCTCATGCTGACTCATCTCTGCTCTTATTGTCTAGTGGTTGGCCAATATATTTTTTTTTTTTTTTTTTAGATCATCAGCATTAGCCAGTAAGTTTTTCTGTTTGACTGTTTGAGGATTAGAGAATTAAGGAGAAGTTATAGCTTTCTATAGTAAACATTTTTAAACGTTTTAATTATTTTTGTAATTTAAAATTTTCAGTTCAGTTATTTTAAACGATATTAGCAAATGTTATGAAAAATATTTATTTTACAGATTTCTTTTTATCAAGTTTAATTTATTTGTTCAAACTGATTAATTAGCAAATTATTTTAGTAAATATGATGTAAAAGAAATATAAATTTTAAAGTTTTTTTTTGATCAAGTTCAGTTTATATGTTTAAACTAATTCATTTCCAGGTTAATTAAAATTATTTGAGTAAATATTATGTAAATATTCATTTTACAGGTTAGTTTTGTTTTGATTGATTTCAAATTATGTCAAATTATTTCAGTAAATATGATGTAAAATATTTATTTTACAAATGTATTTTACAAATGTAAATTAAATGTATTCAAATTGCTTCATTTTCAAACAAATTATATGTATATATATATAAATTCAATAAATATGATTTAAAATAAATATTAATTTTGCAGATTTATTTTAAACAAGTTCAGTTTATTTATTTAAACTGATTTATTTATTTATTTAAACTTATTTTTGATAATTTTGTCTTATCTCATCTATTATTATCGCGTGTTTTGGTTAATCTCATGTAACCTCACCTCACCTTGTCTCTTCACTTGTTTGCTCTCTTCTTTTTTTATTTGTCCTTGTCTTATCTTCTCCAGTGTTTCTCATCAACCTTACCTGTTCCCCTTTATTCTGGCTGGTACAAACCTCCATCTCTCACATTGTGTGTCCACAGGATCCAAGCAGGACTGGTCTATTCAATGGCCCACGTCCGAGTCAGGTAAAGAGAACACCCCAGTGGGGCCGTCAGACCCCAGTCAGTGGGTCCGTCTCCAACTCTCCCAGAGCCCCAAATTGCACTCACGCTACAGCCAGCACTTGTGCCAGAGTCCCCAGGCCCTGGCGCCCCCCTTCTACTCCCCTCACCCACATTCGGACCGGCTGACCGTGGACCCTCACTATGGCCTCTTCCCCTCGCCTCTGGATATGGGACATCACTCTCTCCCTCCTTCCCCCAGACAGAGGCATTTTGCCCACACCCCTCCGCGGACTCCCTTAGTAGTGAACACCATGACCCCTCCAGGGACGCCACAGGTCAGGCGCAGGAATAAACTGAAGGCCCCTGGAACCCCGCCGCCCGCCAGCCGGAAGCTCATCCACCTTCTGCCAGGGTTCACGGCTCTGCACCGCAGCAAATCCCATGAGTTCCAGCTGGGGAACAGAATAGATGACGCACAGACACCCAAGTGAGTCACACTACATTATACAGCATTCTGCGTAATGCATTGTGCAGTGCATTTTAAATGTTGATTTGTTTTTCAGTGTGAGGGCCACATCTTAGTCTGTAGCTCAGCAAAAAAAGTGAGCTGCCTAGGTAGTGAGCGTTTTAAGGCATCACAAATGTGGTTTTGACATAAAGGCCAAAAAATAGGCAGTAAAATTAGACTTCTCTTCTAAAAAACATTGTTTTGGTCAAAATTTAAAATGGCAATACATGTAATTCTTCATAGGTAAGACAATTCCAGAATGCACTGATTAATAATTAGAATAATCAGTATATATTGAATGAATTGAATATATATATATATATATATATAT